CTTCTAGAACATGGCCATACAGCCCGAAAAACCCACAAAAAACTATAGTCATCTAGTGGATTTCTGTGGCCAAACAGGGGTTTCAACCCTGGTCTTTAGAGTTGCCGTCCAAACTTCAAACCACTACACTACATTGGGTCTCCTTTGTATCATTGTAGGACCAGGAAAAAAATGTTTGATTCCAAGAGATACTCATATTTTGGTTGTCCATGTATAAGTTTGAAAAGCTGCATATGCAAATTCTCTGAATAAAATGTTGTGCGAGAAATATTATTTGAAGGATGCAATGGATGGGAATATATTTTTTACATTTTTCATTTTTCCTTTTATAATCCACAGTCTGGCTCTGGATTTTGTCCAGGATGGAATGCTGTAAACAAAGAAAGGTCATAAGAGTGACACATTCTGCAAGACCACTGTGGGACAAACATGTGAGCAGTTAGCAGCAAATATGTGAATCATACCAATCCAGGAAATACAACTTAGCAACATTTTGGAAATACAGCAGCCAGCTAACTAGATAACCTCCCCCCCCCCAAAAAAAAAATCCAGAAAGAATTGTCAATATAATTATCCTCTAATACTGCCATTCATCAACCATGTGATTGTGGTTTGCTTGTTTTGCTTGGTTTTGTTTGGAAAATATGTTCCATCCAAATGATTAGTGGAAGCAATAAAATGAAATCTAACATTAAAAATAGCTCAGGTTCCACAATAGAATTCAAAAGCATAGTCATGTCAGTTTGGATCACAGTACAAAGGGATCCTGTGGTACTTTTGGGATTAACAGAGAGAAAGAAAGAAGTTGGTAGCATACACTTTCATAAACTTGTCTACTTCCTCTAGGAAAGCTGAAGCTACCAACTTCTTCCTTTCTCTCAATCTCAATGGTGCTACAAAATCCCTTGGTTTCCTCATCAGCCGTTATTGCAACTTGAATGATCATTTCAGCTACTCCAAATTCTTGTAGGGTTCAGTTCTTCAAGCACAAAAATGTACCATTTTTCAGAGGAATCATGTCACCCCAAAGTTATATTGGGAGAGGCACAAACGTGGCATTTCTGGGGTAGATGTGGGCTTCAGCCAAAGAGGAAACAGTATGGTGTAGATATGATAAAGGAGATCTGAGTTTAACTTAGGAGCAGGTGAGAATTTTAGTTCAGTTCATTTTTTATGATTATTTACAAAAACATGCATACTTCCTCAGATTTTGGGAAATCAGTACTGACATACTAATCCATCTAACCTTGGGACTTCAAGTGCTTAATTCTTTAAAAATCTGGGTTTGAATCCCATGTTTTTTGACCTGGGAATGACTAATATCACTAATATTCTCATCTCTAATACAAATAGGTTCATAGTAGAATGAAACGATGATATATATGATGCCTTTTATTGTTGTTGTAAGGTGCCTAAAGGTTGACTCTGATTTACGGCAACCCTATCCTAGGATAGGTGTTTGTTTGTTTGTTTTCTGACAAAAGGTACTCAGAGCAGGTTTGCCATTACCTTCCTCTTAGTCAGAGAGAGTGTGACTTGCCTGAGGTCACACAATGGGTTTCTAGGCTCTAGAATGCAATTATAAGGGGAAAGTGGCTTTAACCTAAGAGCAGGAGTAGGCAATATTTTTTTTATTTGTGTACTGATGTCCTAGAATAATCAGAGCACATAAAAAGCAACTATCATGCATAATCAGAAGCATGCAAGATGGCAGCTTATGTGTCACTTCTTTTTTTGTTATTAACCACCTTTGAGTCAATTCAAAGGGGTGGGTGGGTTTGAGTTTAGGAGGGTGTATTGTGAGATTTTATTTCTGTAAGCTGCCCCAATTGCTTCAGTAGAGGGGCAAGATAGAAATAAATGTTGTTGTTGTTGTTGTTGTTGTTGTTGTTGTTGTTGTTGTTATTATTATTATTATTATTATTAATTCCCGACTCACATTGACCCTGTGGATGACACATCTCCAGGACTCCTTATCTTCCCCTGCTCTGCTTAATTCCTGTAAATTCATGCCCATGACCCCCCTCATAGAGTCTATCCATCCAGCATGTGGTCTTCCTCTCTTTCTCCTTCCTTCGACCTTTCTTAGCATCATTGTATTCTCCAATGAGTCACACCTTCTCATGATGTGGCTGAAGTACAACAGCCTCAACTTGATCATCTTGGCTTCCAGGCAGATTTTGGATGTGATCTGTTCAAGGACCCATTTGCTTCTTTTAGCATGGGCTTTATTTTATTATCTCAGAAAGATTGCAGATCCCCAAAACTAATTCTCCTGTTCATCCTTTGCATTCATGGGTGATTTTTCTGCTCTCAGAATGACATTCTACATGTCTTTCACGACACCATCCTCCCTGCACCCATCCATATTTTTCAGAACATATATAGCCAGAAGCAATCTCTATCTCTGTTCTGAAAAAGTGTCTATCTCTGTTCTGAAAAAGTGTCTTGAGAAATAGGTATTTTCATTTACCATGAAACTGATATTTTTGTTGATTTTGACAATGACGGCGATGATTTAAGTAGAACAGGGTCATTTTATTTATTTTACAGTATTTGTACAATAATGCTTCATATAGAAAATTTACACTCAAAATTGAATACAATTTTAAAATAATATACTTTGGTTTTAGATGTCTTTTTAAAAGATAGATACAACATCAGACTACACTAATAGTGCAGTTCTTGTTAGCTAAGGCAGTCCTGTGTATACAAATATGTTTTCTTCAAGAGGAATCTAATGGTGAACCCAGAGTGTATCTACACGGTAGAAATAATGCAGTTTGATACCACTTTAAGTGCTGTAGATTTTGGAGATTTGTACTTTTACAAGATCTTTCGCCTTCTGTGCCAAAGAGTACTGGTGCCTCACAAAACTACAGATCCCAGGATTCTGTAAGATGAAGGCATGGCTGTTGAAGTGGTGTCAAACTGCATTATTTCTACGGTGTAGATGAACTTACCATCACCACCTCTCAAACTACATGGGAAGAATGTTTACTGGGGAGGAGGGTGTAACCATTGAGAAGGCTCACCATCATGATATGATGCAACATACCTTACAACATTTCTCACATCTAATCTGCCCTGCAGAAATAGTGCAGCTTGACACCACTTTAACTGCCACAGCTCAATGCTATGGAATCCCAAGATTTGTAGTTTTGTGAGAGACTAGAGCTCTCTGGCAGAGAAGGCTAAATATCTCACAAAACTACAAATCCCAGAATTCCATAGCATTGTGCCATGGTAGTTAGAGCAGTGGCAAACTGCATCATTTCTGCAATGCAGATTAGAGCACAGATGGGGTGAAGAAACATCAGAGTGTGGTCAGAATGGTAATAGCTATTAATAAGGAACAAATGACAAGCTATGGAAGGCTGCAGCAGTTTGCTTTTGCCTGAGCCTACTGAGAAGAGCAAGATTATATCCCTCCTCTCCTTTGCCCCTTGCTGAGTTAACTGAGTCCAAACTACTTTTGCAATGTGAAGTAAGTTTGCAAAAAGTCAAAGTCATCCTTCATTTGTTGAGTTGTATACTTAGGATATATTAATAAGAAGCCAGATTTTTATAATGCAACCACCCTTTAACCATATGAGTGTAGATTTGTACAAATGCTATATGATCTTGGCCTTAGTCTCACTTGGCACAAACAGCTCTTGATTCTCCTATTCATGCATCAGCTCTGACTTTTCTGCATTATGCTCATGCAATTCAGGGAAAATACAGACCTCAAAACCAGTATCCACGGACAGATTAGGAAGTTCTAATGTTATCAGAAGAAAGCAGCTGCCTTGAATATGTTTGTAATGGGACATTTGGGTGCTGATTTGTGAGTTCCGTGAAGCAATGTTCCGTCGTGAAAGTTGTTCCGTACCTTTATACTGTTGTTTTTATTCTCCGCTGCCGGAATTTCCTTATGCTACATTTATAATAGCCACATTCTTCTGGTTTATTTTCATGTTTCTTAATGGCTCTTGGTATTGCAAGCCAACCAAAGTGCTGGGTTATTGGGCAATCTACAAATGCAGCTGATCTACAAAGAAGTAAATCGGAACATAAATGGTTCATCCCTCCAGACATCAGCACAGCATCACCTGGCAAGAAGCACGAAGGAGAGAACTTGGCTGGAGGAAATGCTAAAATCTGCTAGGAACAATAGGGCTCCCAGAAGCCTACTGGCATTTGCAGAATGCCACCTCCTGATGTCAAGAAACTGAGAAAGACCTGATGCATACCAAGTCTGCAAACACTGAATTTAATCGATTTTCACCATCACAGCCCAATGGGGGCAGCTTGAGACATTCTGCTCTCTGTCTTTGTGTGGCATTCATTTTCACTGGAGAGCTGTTGATGATTTCATCTCCCTTCCCTCCTTATCATTTCTACCTGTGTGAAAAACCTAACTAAGAATGAGAAAGGGAGATGGACCAAGACAAAAAGCACCAGAAAAATATTGTCCCTTCAAGAAGGAAGCGAATTGTCAGATAAGAGCGTCTGTGATCGGTTTGCGAGAAGAAGCGAAAGCAACTAAGAGAGGCAATGGTTCTGTTGTGGTGGTTGTTAATTTTAACATGAACAATCCAATTTACAACCAAGGTATATACATTCTGAAAATAAAAAGATAGAAAGAAAAGCAGGGAGGGGAAGAAAGACAAATAACTACACCCAACTTTCTACATCCACAGATTCTTTATCCACGGATTCAAGCATCCACAGCTTGAAAATATTTTAGAAATATATACCTTGATTTTGCCATTTTATATAAGGGACATCATTTTACTATGTCATTGTATATAATGGGACTTGAGCATCCACAGATTTTGGTATCCACAGGGAGTCCTAGAACCAAACACCAAAGATACCAAGAGCCCACAGTAATACAGTGGGCCCTTGGCATACATGGAGGATCCATTCTGGACCCATCCACACACATATGGAAAAAAAAGTGTAAGCTGAAGTCCCATAGAAATGAATGGCAGCATGCTCTCCTGCGCCGATTTATATTTTTAATTGAGCTATATCAATCCCCGTGTTAAATATTATTTGTGGGTGCCCTCCCAGGACCTCAACTTTTTGGGTAACACCACCTCCACAAGCTTTATCCATTTCAGCTACCTAATGTAAGGAAATGGGGGGGGGG